CAGGGTTTCTCTGTGTAGCTTTGCGCCTTTCCTGGAACTCACTTGGTAGCCCAGGCTGGCCTCGAACTCACAAAGATCCGCCTGGCTCTGCCTCCCGAGTGCTGGGATTAAAGGCGTGCGCCACCACCGCCCGGCTTGTTTGTTTGTTTTTTTGAGTCATAGTCTCACTATATAGTCCTGGCTGTCCTGGAACTCACTATGTAGACCAAGCTGGTTTTAAACTCATAGAGCTCTGCCCACCTCTGCCCCCCAAGTGCTGGGATGAAAGGCTTGCATTACCATGCCTGGTAAGACTTGGACTTTTTAGAAGAGACTTTGAAAAGCTGGGCCTGTTTTCTCACAGATCCTTAGGAAAATTGAAAGAAGCGCCCCACCCCAGCAATGCTGAGGTTCAAACAAGGGCTTGTGTGGGAAGGGGGACGCTTTCTCCCACTGAGCTGCACCATGGGCCTGGGATCTCTTATACGCTCCCTGCACCCGAATACCTAACCGACCCTGACAGTAGTAACCCCCAAATGGTACCTTTGTTAGGGTCGTAACCGTCCCTTGACATGCCAGCACTCCAGACCAGAGCTCGCTCTGGGGTTCACGCTTAGCGTCCCAACGATGGGCTTTCTACCGTGATCTCTAGGCTCTTTCGTGTTCCTTGTTGCCTAGTGACCCAGTCATGAGCGTTCTCAAAGGGCGTCATTAGAACTTTGTCAGGGGCCAAGGGAGGAACAGACTCACATACACATCTACAGAATTTGGGGAGGTAGGGGGAAAACACCGAGTTTGTTTACCGAAAGAATGGCACAGTTTCCGACGTAGGAAAGAGCCCGGGGGAGCTGGCACTTCAAGGACAAACATCTGTGGAAAGTTCAGGGAAGAAAGGTTGGAATTACTAAAGCAGGAAATGACATGCAACTTCCAAAGGCGAACTAGAGCATTTCTTCTCCATCGGGAGTGTAAGAAGACTGGAGTGTGGTCCTTTAATTAGATAGGGAAGGAGGAGGCTCACTGATGACATCAGAAGGTCACAGGGCACTCAGTGCCTTTTGAAAAACCTTTCTGCTTGATCGGGCCGGCGAGCGGGGCTGTGGGAACAGGTAAAACACATACCAAGGAGAATGAGAAGGCAAAAGGAAGGCAGGAGGCAGCAGGTGATGAAAATCAGAGTCTGTATCCAAGTGTGCGGACCTGGTGGTTCACGTCCAAGGTACTGAAAGAATTGGCTGAAGCGCTGTGGACCATAAACTGAATATGAGTCAGCAGTATGTAATGCTATTATTTATGAACGGGAACATGAGTGAGGGATGTATTAACAGGAGTAGAGCAGGAGAAGGGCAAGGACTCATGCTCTGGCACTCGGTGGGGTCAGCTGGTATTTAGAGTGTAGCTACGGATTTTGTTTGCTGTGTGATAGAAGGGAGCACTAAGTAGACTCAAATGACCCGGAAGTGACGAATGGCACCACAATACCCAGGACAACCGGCTGAACTCTGCATCTCCCATCCTCCTGCCATTTTGATCAGGAATACCAGCGTGTAGAGCAAGCCGCCCCTGGCCTGGCTTTCATTCTTCAATGTGCTGTCTGTGTAGCCGTAATGTCCGCTGAAAGAAATGGGTTGTTTTGTTTTAAGAGATATCACATGTCTGAGAAAGGTTATTGTGGAGACTGTTCCGGCTAGTTGGCCTTCCTGTTTCCCAGAGAGGAGCATGATGGAGTTTTTATATACTGATATTAAGGAAATCACAGGGGAGCCGGGAGTGGTAGCACATGCCTCTAAGCCCAGAACTCAGGAAGAAGGGGCAGGAGGATCTTTGAGTTTGAGGCCAGCCTGGTCTACAGAATGAGTTCCAAGACAGCCAGGGTTACACAGAGAAATCCTCTCTTGAAAAACAAACAAAATGAAACCAACAAATACAGCAATAACCTCATCCCGTAAAAGGAAAGAAAATTAGAGGCCTTGGAGAGATGGCTCAGGATTTGAGCATTTACTGCTTTTCCAGAGGACTTGAGTTTAATTCCCAGCACTCATATAAGGAGGCTTCACCTTTAACCTTTAATCACAACCCCTTTAACTCTAGGTCTACAGGGGTCCAACACCCTCTTTTTGGCTTCTGACCTCCAGACACTTGCACTCACATCACACACACACACACACACACACACACACACACACACACACACACACACACACCTTAAAAAAAAAAAAGGCCAGCCAGGCTTTGTGGCTCAGGCCTGTTGTTTCAGGTACTTGAGAAGTTGAGGCAGGAGAATTATAAGTTCAAAGCCAACCTGGACTCCAGGACAATTTCAAAAGCAGCCTGGGCAGGGTCATGAGATCCTGTGGGGAGTGGAGGAAGCCCTAAGTGAATGTGTAAGGAATGAAGTCCTGAGTAAACGTGTGCTGGTGACGTGGGCAGTGCCATGTCAAGAACCCCAAGGCCTCAGACCCTTGACAATGGCAAAGCCTTTCCTGGGTCAGACTTCGGAATTAGCGAAACACTCATTTAAAAAAAAGAAAAAAAAATCAGCAATCCCACAAATCAGTAAGAGACTGTTATTGATACTTTTCATTTGATACCCAAACTGATAGATCCATAAGGATCGTTTCTAATTCTTCCCAAAATCTGATAAGCTCCTGTTCCTACAGGAGCATCCCAGGACACCTCTTGTCCAGGTTTGGGGGAGTTTGTGTTGCCTCTTGAAGTCTAGGACCCTCTTAGCTCATGCTGACGTCTCCCTAGATGGCTTTCTGGCCCTTTAGGCTTCTTCCCAACACAGCCACCAAAGCCCACCTTTCCTGTCTCATTACCTACTATCCTTTATGTGCTTTTCCAAAAGGACAGGCTGACTTCCTACAAACTTGCTCTAAAAGGGTTAATGGTGTTTACAGAGTAACACCGTGGAATGCTGGCCCAGGATATATGACTGGGCACTAGTAAACATGGGTACACAGAGCGAAAATGATTTCCTGATGAGTGAGTTTCTGCTGGATTGCCCCCCAAATCCTCCAGGTTTGCTGCTGGAGAGAGCTCCTTTACTTTTCATTTCTTGCTAGAGTTCTTCTAGTTCTCTGAAACTACTAATTCTCATTATTTATTGGCGTTGAAACATTTTATCTTTATAGTTTTTATTTATGTGTATGTTTGTATGTCTGTAGGAGCGTATATCACATGTGTGCAGGCTCTCAGACTACAGAAGAGGGTGTTAAAGGTAGGTGGAGTTAAAGTCTTGTGAGCCACTTGATGGGGTCTTGGTAACTGAACTTGGGTCTTCTGGAGATCACTAAGTGCTCCTAACTGCTGGGCCATTTCTCCAGCCTCAACTTTTTTTTTCTTATTTTCTTTCCTTTTTTCTTCTTCTTCCTTTTTTTGAGGAAGGGTCTCACAAGCTAGCTTAGGTTGCATTCAAGCTCAAGATTATTCCATCTCACCCTCCTGAGATGTGGGATTATAGGTAGAAACCGACATATCTGGCTATTTCTCCATTTTAAAGCAAGTGTAGGCTTTGGGCTCAAAGCCCTTGGGACTGAAATTATTTCTTGAGCTTTTTTTTTTTTTTGATATAAGTATAATATACACACAAGAGGGGGCATAAATAAAAATATATACCATGATTAATTATATTAGCTAGAATTTAAATTATTCCTTTATTCTACTTGCAATTATTTATACATCTTTGTTGTTTATGCCAAAGATACTGGTTTCCAGGGCAGTGTTTACATTTTCTTTAAAAAAGAAATTTATTAAGTAAAATATGTGAGCTGATTTATAGGGAAAAATATTACTTTGTTTTCCAGAATCTAAAGGTTCACATCTCCCTGGTATTCATATTCTCTGAAATCATGATACATCACACAAATTATGCACTCCTGGGACACCCATGAACTAGGCACAGCAGGGTGATTGGGTGTGTGCGTCCCACCTGCAGCTGGCATTCATGGGGAAACCGAGAGAGGTCAACCTCAGAGTACTTCAGACTCAGAGATACAAGTGAATGATTAGTACTACAGGGCAGTACTCCAGTGGGGTGTGGTGGGGGAGATGTGGGGTGTAAATACCCGATGTTTGGGAACTAATTGTTGAGGGGTCCATTCTTCTCATCTGTTGCTTTGCATTTCAGTAGGGACCCTCTACAGACGTAGTGTCTTAATCCATAACCCTTAAAGAGGTCCGGTTGGTAAGAATTTCAAATCTGTGAGCAGGCTACAGCAGATGCCAGGGAATCCTGGGATGTGGGTCTCTTAGTCTTACTTTGTATTTCTTTAGTGTTCATTGCATATCAACTCTGTGTCTGTCCCTGAGGCCTGCTTGGCCTTTTGTGACATATACATTATCCTTATTTAGAAATTTCCAGGCACCACATAATCAGGCTGTAGGCTTATGAATGATAAGAAAAAAGAGCTTTGAGATATTATGCTAGACTAAAGATCAATAGCCCAGAATATCAGATATCTGCTCTCAGACTTGCGCCAGAGCCTCCATCATCCAGTTTGGAGCTTTCTACATGGGAGCTTCCAAAGACATACTCAAGGAAGGGAGGAAGGTGGGAAGAAAGGCGAGCAGGCAGGCTACTCTGGCCTTTGCTGGAAGATTCTAGGTACGGCTGTTCTGTGAGTCCTGGGCAGCTAGGGGCCAGTAGCAGCCCACTGTCTATTCCTCCAGCCTCCCCTGCACATTTGTATGGCATACCATTTGCATACTCTAACGAGATGAGCTATAATTGGCCTTCATTGATTTTGTTTTCATTGAGCTAAAATAGAGTCAGAGCTTCTTAGGCTAGAAGAACTGATTGATTTGTGGTAGAATTCAGGACTATTCAGTTGAAGAAATAATTAATTATGTTCTTATTTAGTAATCATCAAGGTTTGGTCGGTTTCTTTGTAGCAGAGTGTGCCCAGCAGAATCGAACTTTGCCAAAGCAGGAATGCTTTAAAATAGATACCCTCGGCCAGCAAATGGCTATCTTTACTTACTATTTTTATGAAACTGACATGATACCCTTCATAAGGAGGTAGATAATACTTACTATTTTTAAAGGACGGGTTTGTGCTGAGCAGAGACCATTTCTACATACTTGTAGAGATTGACACACAGGCATTGTGTCTTTCTTCTCTTCATTTCTTCCTCACATGGACCTTTTGCCTTTTAGTCCAGCTCCATCTGCCCTCCGCATCGTTGAATCCATTTACTCATCTTTCAACATTTTGCGAAATTCTTCATGAGTTCATTCAGAGCGGGGGAATGGTGCTTCTCACCATTGTCTTTCAGTTTGTGGAGCTGGGAGTTGATTCAGGTTGGCCCTAACCCTAGGGCTTCAGGAAGGGAAATCTCTGCCTGCTCTGATTATCCTCAACTGTGGTTCACTTGAGCAGAAGGTTGCTTGGTAGGCCACCCTCCGTAGGAAAGATCGCTTGGAAATTTGAATTGATTATAATCAAAATGTTTTGAACTGGCTTCGTTTCATGCCAGTCTTTCTCTTCTAAGATTTCATTTGTAACAACTGTGCCAATGTTGGATCTAATTTGTCACTATTGAAATGAGTTCCATTCACTAAACTGAGGCTTTCTATCCTTTGGGGAAGAGATGCAGATATATATTATAGATATGAGTAAGTAACCATGTTTCAATCTAATGACATTTATACTTGGCTCAATGTGT